CTTTAGATATTTGTAAGTATATATTAGGTCCCCTCGCAGCCTTCTCTTCTTCAGGCTGAACAAGCACAGCTCCCTCAGCCTCTCCTCATAGGAGAAATGTTCCAGTCCCCTCACCATCTTTGTAGCCCTCTGCTGGACTCTCTCCAGTAGCTCCTCATCTTTCTTGCACTGGGGAGCCCAGAACTGGACACAGTACTCCAGATGGGGCCTCACCAGGGCAGTGTAGAGGGGAAGGAGAACCTCCCTTGACCTGCTGGCCACACTCCTCTTAATGCACCCCAGAATGCCATTGGCCTTCTTGGCAGCCAGGGCACACTGCTGGCTCATGGTCAACCTGTCGTCCACCAGGACACCCAGGTTCCTCTCCACAGAGCTGCTCTCCAGCAGGTCCACCCCAAGCCTGTATTGATGCATGGGGTTGTTCCTCCCCAGTTGCAGGACCCTGCATTTGCCCTTGTTGAACCTCATCAGGTTCCTCTCTGCCCAACTTTCCAGCCTGTCCAGGTCATGTTGAATGGCAGCAGCCATTAAGAATCACTCAGACAATAGCAGGGGGCAATGGAAGAACAACTCTGTCCTTAATAACTTAACTGTGGCCAAATGTACATCATCATGGCAAGCTTGGATTAAGCAAGCCAGCATGCCTCCACCAGGACTCGTCACTTGCATTGCGCCACCCACGCAAGAACAAAAGATGAGGAACAACTGCCGGTTCCTCCGCCTGCCTGCTGGCACTCGCCCCACTTACACTGGCGGGCTGTTTTGTGGAGCAGGGCCTTATGGGGGTGCTTCGGGAAGAGCAACAACAAACCACTTCTGAAGTAATGGAAACTAAGCGTGGTGAGCTGCGGAGAGCTCAGCGGGTCTCCTTCTAGGCTCAAATTATTCCATCATTAGTTGAAACCCTTTTCTAGCAAGCTAGTGACAATCTTCTTAAGACAGCCTTTTTGCAAAGAAATAGGCCCTGCCTATTTTTGACTGTTTTTGTGTGACACCATAAACAACAGGCATTTTTTCCCCCATTACAGCTTCCCTGTGGCTTTTAAAGGCAAGGAATGTCTGTGCAACCAGTTACGTTAAACATTAACATTTTAAATTGCATATGGAGAGCTGAAGGGGTAAGTTAGTTTGCTAAAGCAGTGGGGACTCAGCCAATATGGACATCTCCTTTTTTTCTTTCCCCAGTATTACTTCTGCTGAGAAGAGTCATCATAAAGGAGTCAGGCACAGATTTCATCTCGCACCCTTCAAGGAGCAAGTGAAGCCAGTAAGAATCTCAATTCTCATCCCATCAGAAAAGGAGGGTTTACGAGCCCTCCATCTCGCTATCCTCTTTTCAGAAAAGCACTAATTTTGCATATTTACAATCCAAATTTGATACGAATTGGGTCTGGCACAA